ATATATATATATATATATATATATAACTTATCTATAGTGTAAAAAAAAGTCTAATACCGTGACCAGTGTTTGAAGGAAGGGGGAAAAGACAGATTATCTATTCATAGTATTACGTATGAAATTCTGGATTATTCCTATAAGGCGGGTAAATGAATTCGCGAGGAAAAATACAATATGGTCAGACTTAGCTTGGTATCGCTGATGTATCCCAACTTTAATGTTTTTCAATATTGGTAGCAGCGTATTTTAACAAGATTCTATACTATCACAATAGCAAAATTGTAATTTGATTAGTATTCCATTAAATTTCAATTAAATGTACTTCTGTTGACTAAATTTTGACAGCTAAGTGCATTTGGCATCAGTCCTAACGATGGGTATCAAAATGAATTTTATTTTTGTTCGTTTTTTTTTTTTTTTTTTTTAAATAGTGTTTTCTATCTGTTCATAAATGAGAACGCATCAATTTGTTTCCATTGTTGGAGTATATGTCGTACTGTGTAGTTTTTATGACTGTACATTTGAATAAAGTTATTGCTTCCTTTACATGTTTTTTTTTCTTGTTAAAGATAAAGCCTTCACGTTAACCTTTATTTAGGACAAATCAGCCCATAATGATGCAGCAACAAAGAAATAAACACAATCTCAATTTCTTACTTTTAATTATTGTGAATTTTACATTGAAGATTGGCACAGATCGAGGGTTTCGAGTGGAAAGGGTGCAATTAATTATTTAAGTGATGAAGGAATTAGTGCTAATCAAGAAATGATGGTACATCGTAAAGTTGAAATTTCCATGTAGAATGTCTTAGTAGGAGTTACTGGATGGATGTAATGAAAAAGTTAGCATGTGGTGCCTTCATCAGCTAAAAATTCATCATTATAATTATTGAATTCATAATGACATGTGGTTCTACTACCACTGCTTTTTTGATCGTCATTAGTTTTGTGAAGTGAAATAAACCGCATACCAATAAGTGGCGCGTGCATTTATGATAGCTCGGAAGAATTATGAATGGTTGCGAACGGAATTATCTTCATTCATTTGTGGTGTGGCACAACAGCAGGTGTAACATTCAAATGGATGGAATTAAATTCATCTAAAAAGCTTTAATAGAAAAAAAAAAGATTGATTTGTTATTACAATAAGCTGTGGATAGAGAGAGCAAAACGAAATAAAATGAATAAATAATAGGAAATAATTTGGAGGAATGCCTTGGTGATAGAAAATGATAGTGGGAGAAATAAGTCATAGTGCGAATGAAAGTATTATTATAGGAAGGGGTATGGTCTTGTGGTAATTGTTGGAAATTTTCAGTCCTTCACAATTTTCTACTTAAATGCAAATTGTGCGGTTAAATAATGAAATGTTTTGTTGGAAAAGGTAGATGGTAAGAGCGGTTCGGAGGTATGGAAAGTGAAAAAGGAGAGGGAACAATTTACAGAATTTATTCTGAGCTGGATGATGAGGAATCCTGGGAGACGGTATTGTGATAGCTTTTCGGGAATTTCGCGATAATTTCCATCATATTGAGGACCATATGGCGGAAGTTAGGAGGTGGCAATAGTGCAAGTGGACTAGCTGATGCAGCAACAATAAATTCACGAGAGTAGACCATACGAACATCAAGATTTCCATCCTCACGGCGACGTGATACAATCATACTTCCACCAGTTGGATCTGTGTAAGTAACACTGACCTGTAGAGAAAACATCTATGATTTACATGTTCGTAATGTCAACCTAACAACAGAATGCTGAAACATAACATTATAGACTGATTTTCTTTCCAAAGATTTTTAAAAAATCAGCAAATACTCATCTGTGCAACATAACGTAGAGCAGACTATGGCTCGTTGACTTATTAGTAATGAACAAATGAGGTATATTATTGTAAGGTGGAATGAACGTTGTTGAGAAATAGTTGTGACTTACAACTTTCCGCGCAGACTGATGACTATTGATGTTGGAAAGCAACGATTGCAAGTTAATCCCAGACAGAGTCCATGCAGGGTTCGTACGTGTATGAACCTGGCGACGGCGTCGGAAACGATGTTCATCAACCACGGCTGGCATATATCCGTACACTGGAGGGTTAGGCATTTCACCCAACAGAATGTTCATCTAAAGAAAAAATTTGCATGAATTATGTAACTCTTCTAGCAATGATGTATTTTAGATTAATTTGTTGTTTCATACAAAAAAATTCAACAGACATTTGGAGGAACAATGGGAAGTGGCGGTCCAAATGGTCGCGGTCCAAATGATCGCGGTCCCAATGATCGCGGTCCAAGCGGTCGCGGTCCAACTGGTCGCGGTCCCAGCGGTCGCGGTCCCATTGAGCGTGGTCCTGATGGACGCAGTTCTAACGGTCGCGGTTCTAATGGTCGCGATGGTGGTGATTGCGGTCCTGGTGAACGCGGTTCTGGTGAACGCGGTCCTGATGAACGCGGTCCTGGTGAACGCGGTCCTGATGAACGCGGTCCTGGTGAACGCGGCCCTGATGAACGTGGTCCTGATGAACGCGATCCTGATGAACGCGGTGCTGGTGAACGCGGTCCCAGTGGTCGCGATTTCGGCAATTGCGGTGTCGGTGGTTGCATTGGCGGTGGTCGCGGTACCCGTGGTGCCATCGCCGCAAATCCACGACTCATAAGCCAGTTCATCGTTGACGGTTTCAATCTCAAAGGAGGTACCGGAGCAACTGAAATTTCGTCAATATTTTTTTCTTCAGGCGAAATTTATTTTTCCGTAACATTTGAGGTTGAAGCCTATGTTGAATAAGCTACGATCTCATGGTAGAGAATTTATGGGAACATTTCAAAAACAATCCTTTTAGGTGCAGGATTACACGACAACTCTCAGATTAGATTTTTTTTTTAAACTATTAATTTCTCTTCAGTTTGTATATTAATTCGAGTAAAATTTAAGGGACGTATTAAATTACATTTCTAATAACTCTTATCTCTAAATGGACTATTAAGACAAGGCAATCTACCAATAAAATGATGTTTCCCGGGACAAGTAACCGCGGAATTTTGGATTCATCTCCCTCATTCATATATGGTAGAAAATACGAATGAATCCCAAATAAACTTCTGGGTGATAATATAAAAGTAACATCAAGAAAAAGTTCTAACCAGACGGTACAACAGGCACGTTTGTTTGACGAGATTTCTCGGGATCCGAACGTTTATCCATTTTAAACAACCGGAAGATAACGCAAGAACAGCGGATGATGACGAACAAACTATTCTAAATGAAACCGAACAGAAAGAATGAGCTGTTAAGCAGAAAGATTTGATATTGTCGTCTCACAAATTATGCAAATTTTTCTTACTTCATCCGATGCGTGCAAAAATTGCAAAAAAATCGATAATGTTCCTTCAGTTTCTTTCAAAGATGTTTTCGGGAAGTTATATTTACAGAAATATACCGATGACATCGTTACAGAAAAGCAAATTTTTCTTAATTGATTTCTTGATTTTTGCAGCATGAGTTGATATTGTGAATCATTCCTATCTAGTAAAGTTTTACTTCCAAAAAGTTACGAAATTCCAGTCCTCCTCATTTGAGAAAAGCATATTTCTCTTAATTGATTTCTTAATTTAATTGGTTTCTTAATTTTTTTTCAGCATGAATTGATATTGTGAACCATTCCCAATATGAATTTCATGTCCTAGTTATTGCTGTCTTTTGTCAAAGGAATTGTTCTGAAATGCGCTAAATTGTTTGTCAGTCCATAACGTCCATAACGATTTTCCACATTTCTTTTTATCTTTTACCATTTTGGTCTCCAATGTTTTAAAAATCAGAGCAATAGTACACTTAAATCAAACGGTAAAAGATGTGCTGTGTTAGGACAAATTTTGATTGATTTGGATTACGTAAATTGATAAGGAAGGATAATTAACTTTGATATCGATAACTTGTTTAATTTAATATCTGCAGTTACTATAATTTTTCGTATTCCGCTATATTAATTAATATCGTGATGAATTCTTGTGACAGGTATGTATTTCATCCAGGAAAGAAACTAATAAGGCGAAAAGGAGTGAAATTTGAAAGATTTGGTGAAAGTATTTTGACAATGATTTAAGGGATCAATTAAGATTAGCCTCCTTCTCATTCTTGATGAATTGTAATGAATTTTGTTTGCGAAAATAATGGTCTTTTTCTTTTTTTCTCGGTCATTTTCGATATGGCTTAGTGTTACAAAAAAATAATTTCATTCCTCATCAAACGAATTTTTCATTTTATTTGATTGCTAAAAGATCGGCTTTGAAAGTATTAAGAATAGTGTCATAGACCGTGTCGTATGCAAAGGGCAAAGTGTTTGAGTCAAGATGATATGAACCTCTTTTTTTTGCTTTTCCACATTAATGTATGAAATGTATGATGAAACAATAAATTATGAGGATTTAATATTAGAAACATGAAAAAGGATCAATTTCTATTTTCTTTTGAATTGAATTTTAAAGGGAAGTGGTGATATGATTACAGATACATTGTGAACGAGAAGATGGTATGTCCAGCGTTGAAAAGATGATAATTGATGGTAAGGTGATGATATCACATGTTGATTTAGTGCGCCCATTGAATTGTCTACAATATAACATCTCCTCAGGTGAATGTGATTTTAGCCGTGACCTTTGAGTACTTTGCGTTACACTTCGTGTTTGTTCATACCGTTGACGACATGGTAGGATGAGAAGTTGACGAAATGCGCGTCGATATTTCTGACTGTAGACAATGTAGATAAGAGGATTTAACGATGATGATAACAGCGATAACCACTGGAAAATTGGACGTAGTACCTGGGATGCAAATTGAAATGTTGATGTATTGTAATCCTTCGCCAGGAAAAAATAGGAGTATATTCCTGTAACATGTAAGTATCTGTGCATTTATAAATTCATTGTAATAAGTTTAAATTGAATTCGAATTGGCACAAAAAAAATCACATTTGAAGAAGTGTCGCATATCCAGGAAAACTTCTCAAATGCGTGACAGATGATTATTAAATTTATTACCAAAGTTATAAATTATTATACAGAAATTTTGCTAAATGATCAAACCATGTAAAGGTAGCCAGCATAATGCAAAAACAATAATAACTGTAAACATCATTTGGGCAACTCGTAACTTGACACGTTCATCACGAATCTGAATTGAAGTTTTATTGAAATTTCCTCAAATTTTATTATGAAATCCTCAAGAATTAATATTAATTGATATTACCTTAGCATTCACAGCCAAACTACGATGATTGGATACAGTAATGAAGATACGTGTATAAAGCGCTGATATCAAAGTGAATGGAATAGTAAATGCAAGTAGTAAGTTGACAATAATAAAATTTATTGTTTCATCTTGTGTTGCAATACATAGGCGTGCCACCAAAGTACCATTTGGTGGATCCAATGTAAATAATATCTAAAGTGAATATTATTTTTAAGTATTACTTTAGGCATTGGATTTACTTGCTAACATCTTTGATCTTAAAGCTGCTATGACAATTGCAGCTGTAACAATCAAAAATTGAAACTTTAAAAAGTTTATAGGAAATGAATAACACTGATTAACATTTCACTGATTAAGCTTTTCCTATTAAACTCGCCCAAATTGTGTGAAAATGCTTATTCCAAAAACCTGATCATAGATAGCCAAAGTTGGTGCAGCAAGAATCCCACTGAGCAACCATATTCCAGCAATCACATAAAGTGTCCGTCGGGAATCCCATACAGCATATTTCATCGTATGACAGATCGCTAAGTAACGATCCGCTGTAACGGCAACCAGTGTAAAAATTGAAGCACAGGAAGTCGTCGAATTAATCCAAGTTGACATTTTGCAACCTATCGCTCCAAGTTGCCATTCTAAAAAGTTGCGTTAATTTTATAGATTTCGTTAGAAGTTAATATTATTAAAGATATTGAAATCAATTTAGGCATTCCTTTTGTCTTATAAGGAAAGCAAGAAGATATATTTAGATGTGTATGTTGTTCTCAATGATTTTAGATGATATTTAAAATGGATAGATTGAAGGGATTCGTTAACAAAGAGTACAGTTACATTATGTTTTGAAGAGTTCTCAGAGGTGAATCTGCTGAAGAACTTTCCCACTAACCCATACTCAAATTTGTCTAAAATTCGAAAATTTCTAAAATTAATTTTTGATATATGAAAGCCTGTTTATGAAAGTATTGGAACTTTCTTTTTGCATTTTTTGTTTTTTTTTCTGTTTTTTCAACAGTCAAAATCTAATAAACTTAATATCCGCCTTCCACTTTATTCGATTAATTTCATTTTATCATTCCGTTGACACGTTAAAAGTAAGTTTGAAAAATTTTTCGAATTCTAGAAAAAAAATTGTTCCCCATTTCTCGCTTAGCTGTTTAATTAATTTCCTTTCAACATTCTGGTAACATTTTATTGAAAAACTTTTAATTTTCTAAGGCCAAGATAATGAAAATGTATAGATTTTCCTTAGAAAGTTTGTAAATGTGAAATTCTTTTCAAATTAAATTTCGAACTTGATTGAGAAGGATGAGACCGCTTATCCATAGGAAATGATTGCATGTATCGCAAAAGCCAAAAAATAAAACTGACAGATCAGAAATTTGTAATTTTTCAAGTATTTTTTTAGATTTGGAATTATTTAACTATAATAAATTTAAAGCTTTCAAATTCGCAATCGAAATAACACTTTTATTAATGAAAAGTAGTGTTATCAAATGTATACGTCCAGCGCACACTTCTGTCAGTCTTTTTTTTGCTAAAGTAATGAATTCAGCACAACATTTGACCTAGCCCAGTTACTTTCCGTTTTTTAAAAATAATGTATGGATGAAACATAGTTGTTAAAATAATATTAATTCGGATTAATAATCAATGCATAGATAGAGTACGAAATGAATTAATTCAGTGCAAAGTTTCGTTTTATTATAAGTATGTCATTTCGAATTTGATGGGCAAGGACACTTTTAGATGATTCATGATAGTTATAGGATCGACAAAATTATTTTTTAAGCGTTCAAAATGATAAATTTTAAGTTTCCTTCCCTCTTTCATATTCATTTTCACAAAACGTGATCCCATCATCTTATCGTTGTTGTGAGAAATGAAAATGAATGAACAAGATTGGTGAATTATAAAACTTATCTCTACTAACATGTTCATTGATTATGACCGATCAGTCCAAGATATCACGAGTATCCATAACTGAGTCTCCTCAATTACAAAATAAATGAATGTCAATTAGAATCTGCAAACTTTGGGAAATATGAATTGTTTTGAAATTCTGTTATATCATCGTTAAAGTAGTTGTGATGCAATTTTTTTTTAAGCGAAAAAAATAAAATCTATTTAATTGATTAGATTTCTACAATACAATAGAAATTGAAATTACAACAGTAATTGCAAAACTTCAACTCATTTGAATTTTCAAAATTTCAATTCTTCCTAACGTCTATTCTTCGTAACACATATAAACTATTACGAAAATTGCATCGATACAAATTTGTTAAATCTGTTCAACAATTTTCAGAACATTGTATCAAAGTATAGTACATTCCGAAAAGAAAGAAAGAAAAAAGAAATCGTCTTAACAATTTAATTAACAATATTTACTTCATCTCGTAAATAACATCTTTCATTTATTAAAGAATTGGTCTATTATGAAAGTTACAAGAAAGTCTCAGATGGGATCATTTAATCTGAGTGTTTTCACTGATCTTTTCAGTAATAACAATAGCAATTTTGTTGCATCATTTTTTTTGCAACAGTTTTTTTGCAACCTCTAAAATTTGCAGTGCTTAAATATACTTTTCAATCTTTTAGAAATATTTAAAATAATTAACACAAACTAACAAAAAAGAAACCAATCAGTTGGTTTGATTTTGTTTTTATATATTTTTTGACATGTTTTGCATAATCAAAAGTTTTTGTAAATTTTCATCCAACTATAGTTGAACGACTAATTAACCTGCGAATGATTCTAGTTTTCATCATCAAAAATTAATGTCAGCAACATGTTATTTTTTACAAGCAACAAGTTAGTTTCATAGTTTAATTTCTGGAAACACACTAAAAATATGAATTGGATTTATAATTTGCTAGAATTGAGCAACATCATCCATTCTCAGTACATAGTATAAGTTGCAAATGTTAGAGGTTCATTGAGATCTGATATTTCATCTAAACTATTCTAATTTCCAAAAAAAAAAAGAAAAAAAAATTACGAAGAAGTTGAAAATGCTTTCAATAAACTTAGATCAATTTCCGCAAAAGTTCAGTTTGGAATAAACTTTTGATTTCATGCGTAATACCATATTTCTTCACAGATTAAAAGTCAGAAAAATAGAAAATGAAATTTTGAATTAAATCTTACTTCTTTTAAGACTCTAAGAACTTACCTTTTTTAGATTCATTTCATTTTGGGCTATAATTTCAATCTTATTAAAAGGATGTGATTTACAGAACTATTCCATTTACATTCCAATAAGGTAGTAATGGAAGAATGAAAAAGGATTTTCAATCCAAAACAAAAATTATAATACAAAAAAGCATGATTCTTTCAAAAAGATAACATTTGAATTTTGAAACCCAGAAAACTAATTGAATTGGAGGAATTGGGCCTGCAATGAGATTTCGGAATAGGCACCGACAGTTACCAGATACATCCAATATTTGAACACTCATTAACAATTGTCTGTTTTTAAGAATCTCTACAAATTCAAAATGCGGTGTCACTTACTGCAGTGTCATGTAATTCTTAGGAAATACAGAAGTAGTGAAGCATGAGGTAGAAATTATGATCAGATTCAAAAGAGAGTTATACCGTGATTGCCGAAAATCTGGTCATTCAAATTACCACTCGAAATCTCGAGCTATGTGGCGTGTAGAAGTGCAACTGAGGGAAAGTGAAACTATGACATACCTAACAGACTAGTTTTAGTAGTTTACTAAACATAATATGCTTTATTTAGCATTTGCTATTAATAGCTAATGACCCTAACGATCGAAGTAAATAACGAGAATATGCATGACATGAGAGGTAATCTTAGAGTTAGTATATATATCAATTATTTCATGCTAACTGTCTTTTTTTTCGAATCATTAAGAAAATTTTTGAAGTAGCTATAAGCTTGATGATTTTCTGGGCCTTTTTTTCTCTTCGATCTCTAAAGAATTTCATTCATATGATTTTAGTTTTTATCATTTCTCTGATAAGGCTTGGAACTTTTAGTTAGTCAATAAATTAGTCCTCTTGCGGTCCTTTGTATAGTGTATAAGAAGTTACACGAGGGGAAATGCAAAAGGATTGAGTCATATCAAATTGCTATGGCTATATGAGAAAACCATTTGGGACTTTTATATCGGATTTTTTTCCCAAAATTTTCAGACAGTTTGCTAACAATAATTATTGGATAGTATATAAATGCATTCATTTTACCGCAATGATCGTTATTATGAAAGTTCTCAGATTTGAAAATTATTGAACGAAAATAATCATTTATATTCGAAAAACATTATATCCTTTAGTTTAAATCGAGCTTTTTTAATCAAACCTATTGTTATAGACTTATCGATTACTGAAAGAATAACCAGTAGCACTGACCAATACAGTGGTACCTTCATTTTTTTTCCTTTTTCTTTTTTTACAAGAAAATAGTATTTTACTTAGTCATTACAACTTTTTCATTTGAGCAACGTTTATGCTTAATTTCAATAAACAATTACAACTTAGGCACATTCAGCTTTACGGCTATTATATGAGTTAATTGTAGATTTCAATTATAAACTAAAATGTTCTTGTTTTTCCAAAACTAGAACCAGAAATACATCACGGGAATTAACCTTTTGCAAACTGCTAATTTTCGTTATTATTAAGCTTTGTGGATTTATAATGCATTTGACAAAAAGAATGACTCTTTAAGGAACTGAGTTACTAAAAAGCGCTGTATAATCATTATTTGGATTTGAAATCAGAAGAAGATTCTTAGAGTGTAATTAACTACGACCGGAAAAGTTGAGCAAAAAAAAAAACGAAATTCGCCATTAACTCATGGAACTCTTGAATTCTATGTTTATGTATATTAACTTTCTTCTTTTTTATTCTAAAGCTCAAAATTTTTTTGAAATTTGAGGTTGCTATTAATGAGGTAACGAGTTGCTTTTTTATAAAAATAAAGAATTCTGACTCCGTCATTAATGTAACATTTGATAAAAATGTGCAAATTGATTGATAATTTTATACTTACATTACGCATATTCGTTTGAACGACCGCTGAAATCTAGCATTCGAGTAATGCTATGGGTGGTTAAATGATCAGAGCTATTTGAGCTTTATAAGTTTTCCAAGCTTTATCTTCCCATTAAAAACAATGACAATTATAGTTCATTGGTTATTTCAAACATCTCAAATTTGAATTTTTTAAAACTTTCCAACTGATTGTTCAATTATCATGCTTTTAATAAGTTACAGAGAGGAAGCTTTATTTGCATATTTTGCATTTTTGCTTATTTCATCGTAATGAATTTCTAATTTAGCTGGTATGAATTTTGAATTTTTGAAAAATTTATTAGGATAAGTGGGAAAAAGATTGAATTGGTTCAAATGAAGGAGAATGAAAAAAAGGATGTAATAATAACCTGTTAAAAGATTATTAAGTAAAGTTGTTGGAAGGCAAAATAATATAATTAATAGATCAGCAGTGGCCAATGATGATATCAAATAATCTGTGGATGAACGTAGTTGTGGATGTATGATAACAGATAGCACAGCAAATGTATTGCCAAAAAGTCCCAATAAAAACAGAGCAGAATAAAATGCGGAATAAGTAATAAGTAATAATGTCGGATGACGAGTTACTTCCAGCTCTTCCATATTTCAATGATAAATAGATCGTTGTACTGTTAAGAAGTGATCTGATATTACAATTAGGGTAAATCTATCGCTGTTTGCACTTATTCTTTTGTTGCAGAAGTAATCGGAGAGTAGTAATAGTTTTCAGCCATGCGATCCATTTGAAGTTTTACTTTGTTCCAGCTTAGATTGATGTTTAATGTCTTGTTATCGCTGTCGCACATGCAAAGCTCTATCCCATCCGTTATGTAGCTGCATATTTCCGGAAATAGCAATAAAATCCATCACGTTTGTATTTAGAAGCCGAGAATATCATTAGCGGAAAAAAAAAATCATTTGCCAAGCTTACGTCATCACTGAGAACATCAATTCCCTGAAGATTGCAATTGTTCGGATAATTTAGATTGTATGAACGAAACAGTTCGGATACTTTTTAGTTTGGAGAAAAATGATTTGAATCTGACCTAATTTATTATTTACTTTAGGAATACAAGATAGTTCTATAGTTGTAGTTCGAATATGATTACTTCCTTAGATAATATACAATTTACGAAAGAGTTTAGAGCTTTTCGAATAGCAGGAATTCAGATTTTTGTTCTTAACGTTTGTTTTCGTAACACTTCTTCCATCCATCATATGTAAGGTAAAGACGATTAATGCAAGTTAAAAATTGTTTTTCTGCGCATACAAAGAAAACCCTATAAAAATATATTCCAAGCAAACTATGAAGTGCTATTTTTTAATGATTGATAAGCTCTAAACATTGTAGAAAGATGCATCTCAGTGTTCATATGTTTCTCAGATTAACCTTTGGAATGAGTCGTATCACTGAGTAAATTGCTAGAAATTTCAGGTTAAACTAAGTTATCATCACAGAATGACTGTTTAACTGAGCATCTTTTGAGGTCACTCTTTGATGATATTATTCTATCTATCCTTAATTTCGTATATTAATCGAAAAGAGTAAAATATAGGTTGATCGTTTGTTAATTGAAGCTTTTCAGTGGATATTTCATGATGATACTTTATAAAAACATAGACGAAACGACGAAGACAATAAATGGCGTCAAACAATTAATTAATCGTAGGTTAGGGCATTGGCTAATGAACAAAAATATAACAGCAAAAGTTAAAAAGTAAAAAAAGTAAGGGATAAACAAAAATCACTGTAGTGAAAATAAAATTAATGTAAACTACGTACTTGCTTAACAGCAATGGGTGTTTAAGCAGAAGTATAAAGGAAATATCTATCTGAGCTGAAAAGAGAAATGCTGATGATAGTTGCTTTCTAGCGTTAATCTCAATAGTACTGTCGTATGGAAGCTCATAATGACTTAATTGCTGCAATAGTGGGAAAAATAATCTTGTACGAGATCCTCACTTTACAATCATGTAAACAATCGATTTTTTATTAAATGAATGACGTAGCAGATGCAGTACCGATTCCAGTGGAAAATAGGCTACGTAGATTTGTTGAAGATAGGACTGAAATCAAGCTATGTCCGTTATTGAGGATCACTCATGAGATAATGCAAATAACGTAAACATACTCGGAGTGCAGTTGGATCTCGGTGACATCGAAACTAATCACATTAAAAGCCCGGATGATCGAGATAATCTTGCTTTGCACTCGTTCAAAAGAGTTATTCAAACTGAAGGATAGTTTTCAAAATCGAAGCTATTATTGCGAAGATTTGCTTACTTGAAAGTAAAGAGAGAAATCAGAGAGAAATCAATTTGTAAAATCACTCCTTTTAATGCTGTTAATCTGCTTTCAGTTTGAATCTGAGCAGTTAAAGTGTTCTCTGGTTGATATTATATGTTATAAATTCAACTGAGATGATCACTTCATCCAACTTGGCATTCTATACATCGTATACAAGTTGGTGTCTTACAACCCAAGAAAAAAGGACTAGTATTATTGGGAGTTCAGGAAGCAATTAGCTCGATGAATTATTAAAAGAAGTGATTGGAATCTAGCCGATTAAGCGACTATCTTGTTACCTATGAAAATAGTATTCGATAGTATGCAATATGCCATAATTAGAATAATCTGATGTTTATCTACAATTTGCTCTTTCATAATAAACATTATATTGCTGAGGTGGAAATTGGTTGTATCGATGGAGCAATTATTATTTGAAAGTCTTTTGGACACCAAGCCACAAAATTCTTTCTCCCGTTGTCCCCAAAAAATAACACATTTTTGGTTCAGACGAAATTCATCCAGTAATTAAAAATCTTCCAATTTCGAATGTGTGTCCATACAAATCGATTAAATTTTTTTTTTTAACGAATACAATCCATTGAGTAAATTAACGAAGGATTAATGTCGGATTTTGTTGAGAATTTGCCATCCTAAAATGATAAACAGATCTAAAGTAATATTAGATATTTTATGATATCCGAAACAAGCATAGTTATTTCAAACCATGGATAGTAAGATCATCCAAAAAAAAAGAAACAAAAGCAAAGCCATTGTCACTGTCCCAAAATTTTTAACTAACATTTTTTTCACTTCTCCAATTTCTTTAAATTTATCACTGTTTTATTAGTGTCATATATTATAGTTTAGACGATTCTCCTCTAGCTCAACTGTCTACCTGTCTTCGATCTGAAAGAGTTCCCTTATTTTCTAGAATATTTTACCTTTCTTTTGACTTTCTCATATTCAAAATAACTCAAAAGAAGTGCACGTACACACACAGATACATACACAAATACAGACACAGACACACACATATACTTGTGAATAAACTTGAAACTCCCAATATTGCACCCAACTTTGATTTAGATATCACTAAAATGACTGCAATTGAAGAAAAAAGACTGATGATCATCTTAATATTGTATCAGAGAGGCAATGACAGAAATGTTGACAGTATGACTCTGAGCAGTCTGATTTTTATGCTAATCTATTTCTTTTCTAGTGGTTACTTTTACTTGCATAAAATAACAATCACTAATCAGTTTTGATGAATAAATTTAAGTGGTA